AAGAACTTCTGTAGTCTGTCCCAACTGATAACTCCCATTGCAGGAATTCTCTGAATAAAACATAAAGAAGATTTTCACGTCGGTGGTGAAAGATAAATGGCTTGAATTGCAGGGAGCAAATTAATACACATTAAACTGCTTTAGATTAAAATGCAATGAAATTATATTATGAAACTTTGTAGAATATAATTGGAAATTACAGAAACTACGAAAATATAAAGTTTATTTGCACTGAAGTAATATATTACACGAACCCAATATTGAACTTTGTTATTGAATGAGACGTTGTGTTGAATAAATGAAAACATTGATAGGTGAAATGATTTCATTAGAAGTGAATAGGCCTGTCACTAGCCTCAGGGCTTGTGACCTTAAGAGTTCTTATTCCGTTGAAGAATATTAACTATTTTCTTTTATGCTCATGTGTATTGGCCTCCTTCTGCCTGTCCGTTACTTATTCTGTCCAATATTCCTTCAGTTTCACATTTTTTATCAGCAGTAAATAAACATTTTGAAACGGCGACGATTTTGTTACAGAATTTTGAATGTGACTTTATAGCATAGGCATCAGGGAGGGAGGAAAACAGTAGGACATAATTTTAATCGCTGCATATTACACAAAAGCATGGAGGACCATTACCACAAACACAAGTTCAGTCTGGCTTTCCTGTCCCTAATCCGTTTGCAGGCATGAGGGAAAGCGTTGAGTGAACCACGATATTACGTTATTCTTTATTTCTAAATATAAAGGAACGTTTCAATAAGTCGTGTTTTCACTACAAGGAGTTGCTGAAAAGTTACCAGAATTGGATGACAATTTTGACCTATTCATTCCTAGCAGTCGATTGCTTATAATTCTCTTCCTCTGTATATATAAAACTTACGTTACTTCCTCTCTGTGTCAGTTGCAAGGAGTTCTGTGGTACTCCGATTGAAGCGCTACATGACGCCTTGCCGGATGCGCGCGTTTCTAGTTTAAAATTTTAATTGCGATATATTTCTAAATAAGTATTCCAACTGTAATGAAGAAATCGTAGAACACATAGACATTCCGTGAGCAGCCATGTCGAGTTTCATGCAGCCAAGAATTCTACATATTACTTCAGCTCTGAATAAAAGAAAAGCCATCATGAAATTCAAGAAAACAGAAAAATGAAGAGCACCCAGACTACTCAAGTAAGTATCCTAGAATCACACTGTTATTTCCAGAGTGTGTATGTTGCTGCTTTTATAATCTTTTTAGGTTTACGCTCATGTCCTGTGTCACAACGTGGCCAGCGGGGAAAAGGAAGAACGATGCATCCCCAGAATACTGATATTGCCATACTCTGATAGATTACGTAGCCTGTGAATCACTGCCATTACTGGGAAATGAATCCTGATCTCTCCAGTCCGTAGCCAGCCGCTGTATTGGGTATAATACCAGATGTAAGTTGAGTCGCCTTATCACAAGCCTTAATAACAACGATCCTATTACAATAAATTGACTAGGACCACGTTTATTTTTCTGATTTCGCTGAAGGATACTCTGTTAAATATAAGTTCTCTTGAATTCTGTCGTAAATCAGCGAGGAGTGGTGGGTGTTCACTGCGACGCACTGTTATGCGCTGAAGTTAGGTCACACCGAAATTGGTAGTTTATGATTTATTTAACAACGCACTCATTAGCCAAGTCTACATAGCGTTGAATGACATGAGGGGCTTGCCACTGAAGTCTTCCAAAATGTCTGCAAATCGTGAATTTACTTTACCGTCACAGTATAAATTTTCACACATTTAGAAAGCTTTGAAAGTAATTCACACAAAATTATATCATATTATGAATAATTCCAAAAAATGTGGAAGGATGTGGACGTGATTTAATCTGAGGAACTACCTCACCATTTGCATGGAGTGATTGAGAAAAAAATCTCAAAGTAGTCAGTAACCCGACTGAGATTCGAATAGGACACTTCATAGATACAAGTCACCGCTTCAGCTAACATACTCGGCAGTTAAAAATTACGTTCACTTTGTGTTTGAAGGGCAAAATATCACGAAAGACAGATATGGAACAAACACAATACGTGATTTTGAATGCATAAAATATTACTGTAATTCATTTCTATGATTTCTTTGTTTCACTTGCCTTGAAAATGTGAATAGTCTCAGGTTGCCTGGCTTATCGCTCCTGTTTGAAAAGTCAACAAAGTAATGACAAGCGCGCCAGCACATGTTGTCACAGGAATTAAGAATGCCCCTATTCACATAGTCTAATGTAATATCCCAGTTTAGGCATTTGAACATGTTCAGTGAACTTCCGCAAGGTTTTCCTGATAATGCAATCGTAAACAACTTACATGACTTAACCATCAAGGAAAAATTACCTCTACAGCCGTAATCAAACTGTGAGATCATCAGAAGCTCAGCAGATTAATGTAGCGGTAACGGTTCTGACTTTCATATGATATTGTCATGTGTTTGTGGCTGCTTGAATATTAATAACGGTTTGTCGATCGGATAATTGGATTTATTATCACCTTTAACAACCTGTCTAAATCACAATCAATTGTAGCGCTATCGCTAATCTACTCACTTCACAAATCTTCTCAGTATTTATTAGTCGTATCCTGGCAACGAATTTATAACAGTCTCGCCGTAACCACAGCACACATAACGTCTTATTTTCACTTGCTAAGTCTTCTCTTCACAGGCTGACTTTCAACTGACAACTGAACCGAACTCTGACTGAACGGTCAATTATTGTTGGCCTCTCGTTATACGNTGCGACTGACGGTCAGTCAGTCACTAAGTCTTGGTGTCGAGCCCCATCTGGGGCTCATGACCAGATATTTATTACTGTTATACATTTACAGTCTTGCTTTTGTGGGGGCGCCCTCTCTGACGAGAGTACGGGTCTGTCTTCTATAGTATATGCTGCTGGCCCTTGTCAGCAGTCTTACTCGGGTCCGAGTCTCTTGAGACTCGCGGCCATATTTTACTGTCTCAGATTATTGTTGGCCTCTCGTTATATACCCTCTGGTCGGACCACAATACAGAAGACACATCCGTTGCCTAGAAATGGATATATGCGAACCACGTTCATTAATCACTAATTAAGCACTAAAAATGAAGACGTATGGGGGAGTGGCTATATAGATCCATGTTTTCTTGACCTCTGCACTAGTTGGGGTTGAATGGTCAGCTTCACGCCCCGGCCGCTTTACCCCCGAGAAGGAACTCCGTTACCCATTGTATAGAAAGCTGGGTGGACCTCAGAGCCGGTCTGGGCGACGTGGAGGATAGACCATTTTTTACCCTACCGGAATTCGAACTCTAATCCCTCGCCTGTCCATCCCGTGGCCACTCGCTATATCTCGGCTCATCCAAGGCATGGATAGTAAAAGTAAAGTTTTTTTATTGCTAGTGGAGTGGGACTAAGTCTCTTGTACTGCGGCCACTTCTGGCCTATTGTACCAGCCCCAGATGGTAGGTGAGGGTGATTGTGGAACAATTGGTGGAAGGAAGATTGGCAGGGGAAACCGAAGTACTCGGAGAAAACCTGCCCCAGCGCCACTTTGTCCACCACAAATACCACTTGATCAGACCCGGGATCGAACCCACCGCGGCGGCCCGGTTTCGATCCCGGGTCTGGTGAAGTGGGATTTGTGGTGGACAAAGTGGCGCTGGGGCAGGTTTCCTTCGAGTACTTCGTTTTCCCCCGCCAATCTTCATTCCACCAATTCCTCCACAATCACCCTCACCTATCATCTGGGGCTGGTACAATAGGCCAGAAGTGGCCGCAGTACAAGGGACTTAGTCCCACCCCACTAGCAATAAAAAATTAGTAACGTTACACACATTCTATGACATCACGATGTCACGTTCTATAAATTACAACTCTTAAAAATGCAGACTCTTTAAACAGTTTAATCTGCACACTAAACTTCAAGCAAATTTCTCAGTGACGTAATTTAAAACAAATTTCATTGTCATAAAAAACAGTTACTGACAAGTGACTCATAACTTGTTGACACTACCAACAAAAAAAGTTATCCCTGTATTTAACGAATTAAGCACTACGCCATGAAGCCGCATGGGGGTGAATGTATAATGTACATGTGGTTTATGGACATAATTCGGGTATAAAAACCGGATCCTGAGGCTGCTACCGTCCAAGTTCAGTATCACGACTGCCGAGTCGAGAGTCACTCATTGTTCCAGGCAGAAAGTCTACCGTGAGTTGTAAGGCAGGTCTGAATTTACAGATTGGGCGATTAATAGATTAAATTTTAGACTGTATGATGAGGCTGTTATTCAATATGTGGCAACTTGTGAGTGGATGTCGAATGGAAAGAAGCCTCGCTTTCTATTCGGGAGGTCTCACTTTAAAATCTCGGCTTTCAACCCAACTAACATGACAGAGGTTTTTCGTGGTTTTGTAAGCAAATTGTGGGATAGCACCTCAAACTAGGCCACAATACTTTCAATCTGTGTCTTTTCCAATTCGGTATTCTTTGATCGTCCTTCAATTCGACACCATGTTGTCTGAGCTACTGAAAGTGTCGTTAACTAGATCGCAAATAAATAACATTTTTGAGCTAATATAAAATTTGAAAATTTATTGAAGTCATTTTCGTTTCCAATGAAAATAACAATATGGCTTCCACTGTAAATATTTAATGATGTTAATTAAGTACGCAGCCGGTCACGGTAGCCGAGCGGTCTAAGGCATGCACTGTCTTCGTTCGCTCGGAAGCCGGGATCGTGGGTTCGAATCCCACTCAGGGCATGGATGTTTGTGTACAGGTAGAGGCCTTGCAACGAGCTGATCACCCGCGCAAGGAGTCCTACCGAATGTGTAAGATGTAGAAAAACCGAAGTGAACGGAGAAGCTCATGGAGGTAGGCCTAGGCCCACTGGGGCTGTAGTGCCAAGGAAAAAAAAAATAAGTACGCAAGTTTACTGAATAATTCTTAGATTATATAGTGACACCGTCATGGCAACAATAGATGAGTCTAAAAGATTATCATGAAAATATGAATTGGTGAGGATCTTGAATGAGATAGCCATGAACTGTTTGAAAGTAATAATATCTCAGCTTTCGTGTGAAGAGACTGAAAAAGCAGTAGGAATAAATGGTAGGCCGACTGGTACTCAAACACAAGGAGGTACATGCAGGGAAGTTATAAGTTCATTTATACACTCGTACTTTTGATGGAGCTTTGTATACTTCTGAAGTAAGGCAAGTTTTTCTTCAAATTCTGCTTCTTAGAAAAGAAGGGTTGCCTTATTTTTCGCCCTCAAAAATAAATATTAAGGAAATGATTGTGAGGAGTTCTAATTGCTAATTCTAGTGTTATGCTACATCTGTTACCTTCTCTGGCAGGTTGATGATGGATTGGCAAATATATCTTCGTCTGAAGCTTGCTGTGATGTGCGCATGTGTCTCTCTGAGCTGGGCCCAGAATTGCCCATCACAGAAACACGCGGCCGCCAAGTTCACAATAAACAGTCACCGGAATCAGACAGGTCACTGGATATCACAGGTGAGAAGACAGACACCCGCTATAAACACCGACGTTACAACAACGGCAAGTATTGTTTCCTTTCATGTACGTCCAGACCATCTCAGCTCCTACTCAGCTTCCTATCAAATGATACCCTGTGTAGCCGTACCACTGACACCACCAGATTTATTTGTAATCAATATTTCTTTTAGAGAAATTAAGCATAGGAGGTAGCAAGAACATTCAAAGGTGACTTAGCCCGATTCTTGGATTCAAGAATAGGGCCTGCTTCACTGCTACAAAGACCAGACAGGAAGCACCCCGCAGAGTTTTCCTGGAAATTCAGTTGACCGGCGGGATCCTTTGGTAAAGTTACACTTGACAGGTTTGAACCCAGTAAGTCAAAAGTGGGAAGGCCAGCAACCCACGCTACTGGTATAATTTTTCAAGCAGCTGTCAAAAACGACGTTAGGACTTTAAGGTCCAAAGTCCCAAATTAAAGTTATGTGATTGGAGCAGTGAGAATTATGGTTAACTCCCTAAATTCGAATTGTTCCAATCAGCAGAAATTAGGGTAGTAACTCGGAGGCGGAGCTGAAGCCGCGAAGATTTCTTGCTTCGAAGCAGAGTCACTCTGCGAGTAGAGTCTCTGAACAACCCTCCAAGTGTACAGCCGCAAAACTAGCGTCACTGGCCATTTGGTTTAAAAACAAAAAAACTCAAAGTTAAAACAAAATTATGTTTAAGTGTTTGCAGGAACAATCTCTGGATAACTCTCCTAAATTTAAAGTGAAATTTTCTTTGTGCTAAAAAGAAAAAGTGAAAGTGCAATTCTAGGGTTTGTGCTAAAAGGAGCAGCCGCTAACTACCTAGCCAGGGATCCGGTCGCCAACGTTGGAGAAATTTCCAGGTGTTTTAAGGAAGTGCCACAAGTGCTGTTACATGTACGTGTATAGCAAGATTGGCTAATTAAACAGTGTGTGTTAGTGCCTACCTAAAACACTCTTCTCTTTCCCGCTGACGCGAGGCCCGTATTCACCCTGAGACCGAATCTCATCGCTCCAGTGAGAACGCGGTACCTAGCACCTGTAGTTTCCAGTTCATCCCCCCTTTCCCCAAAATTATAAGCCGTTACAGCAAGCTTACTGGCGCCCAGCACTCCAATAACCCATACCCCGCAAACTATTATCCACCAGAATAACAAAAAGGGAAATAGAACTGGACAGGAAGGACGCAGCAGCAACCTGCCAACTCGAAGCAACAACAGGTGAGAGGGAACGGCTAGCGGAGCAGATGCAACCAGCAACCAGAGGGCTCATCAGAGGACTGCCGGAAGAGAGCGGTTACACCTGGGATCATTTGACTGCTGACTAAGCGGTCGGAGCTTGAAGCTCATCGCCCTCTTCTATCCAGAGTTCGGACGCAATGTACATTAATGTTGCTCCCATTTCAGAAGTTTGCATGGTCACGACGTTATTATTAGTAACGGTAAAAGTTAAAGTTGTTCCTGTGCTTAACTAATTAAACACTACGCCATGATGGCGTATGTGGGAGTGGACGTATACATCACATTTTCTTGACCTTGGCACTAGCTGGAGGTGAGTGATCAGCTCCATGCCCCGGCTGCTTTACCCCAAGGGAAGTAGCCCCATGTACCCATTGGATAGAATGTTGGGTGAACTCCAGAGCAGGTCTGGACTACGTAAAGAAGAGAAAATTTTTTAACCCTATCGGGACTTGAAGTCCGACTCCTCGGTCGACCAGCCTGCAGCTAGTCGCTATACTGACTACGCTATCCCGGCTTATGTTATTATTATTTGTAGGAAATTAATTACAGAAGCTGGATGGTCTATAGTGACATGATGTTCACACCAGTTTAAATAAAATCCATCAAGTTTTTTAAATATATTGAGGGGGCAGACACACAAGTGGACAAATGAACTGGATGCCTTGCAAGTCTTTCTGCATGAACTCTCAATTACCGTAATTGTTACGTTACATCATAACCCTGCTCTAACTTACATGACGACACTGGCCTCTTTGTGCAGGTGTGGCTACAGCACAGCCCTGACAGTCACACAGTGACCAGCCCCTGGATGGTTGAAGTGGAGCAGAACACTGCCTCCTGCAAGGGCGTCGAGTCAGTACAGCTGGTTGCCACCTTGACAGGTAGGTCTGCAGGCAGTGGCCTGTGCCCAAAGTGGCAACAGTTTTCCTGCATGAATTACAACTCGACAGGCGGATAAAATTATAGTTAGGTCACCGGATACTCTGACTGAAGTTTTCGTGCTTCTTGTCAGCTCTTCAGACGAACGTTGTGATGGTACAGTAGTGGAGGATAGACGTGAAGAGAGCACCAATCACATGGAATGTCACTCTTTCCCTGTTTACAGCTCCCCCGATCCGTGCGGGGCCCGGATATGAACTCCGCCGTGGTGTAGGTTACTACAAGATTCATACTGAACCAAAGACGTGGCAAGAGGCGCGCCAGATCTGTGAGCAGGAGGGTGCTCACCTCGCAGTCATCAACTCTGAGGAAGAATCCAAAGTTCTGCAATCACTGTTTGCCCCTGTGGCTGCCAAACTCAAGGTGGCATGGGCCTTCGTTGGGTTTCATGACCTGTACAACGAGGGGCAGTATCTTACTATCTTCGGTATGTGATCACTTTAATAGAAAGATATATAAATGTTTAAATACACATAATTATCGAGTTTGTTCGTTTGTGCTTTGTGTAGACCAACCTCACTGGAAGTATTTTAAATTTGTTGCAGATTCAAACCATTGTTTCAAAACTAATCACATTAGAGACATAACACAGCTTTCCTTTGAAACGAACCTTGACATTGTAGATGTTAAGTCCGAACAACACGCACTAATATCTTGTAAGATCTGACTTTTTTTTTCTTCTGAACTGCTGGATATCCAGCCACCTGAAGATGGCACATTAGTGCTGAAACATGTTGTGTAAATGTGAAGAGTAAGGTGAAAATGTGTATGCACTGTAAGACGGCATAAATCATGGACATGAATCAGTGCAACAGGACGCTAAAATATAACATTATTTATACTAATGTTGTATTTTAGCGTCCTGTTGCACTGATCTTTGCCCATGATATGTAAGCAGTGTCTGTCTTTTAGTGCACTCAATTTCACTTGTTACTTCACAACATGTTTCGGCACTACAGCGCCATCATCAAGTGCTCCATTTACGTCAATCTATTTCATTGCTTGCCATTACGTCATTGTAAAATTGTATATATACTATATATTTGTATATACTAAAAACTTGTTAAGATTATTTATCTTACCTGTCCCAATTCTAACACCGCACATAGTTTCACTACTATGGGAGTCGTTCCTCTTATTCTCAGGGTATATCATGTCTCGTGTTGCGTGTTCCCTGTTTGGTCGAGGGTGTTACATATCATGGACGATTATTTATACTAAATGTTTTGTCAGGAAATTAGCATTTTAGTTTATCTATACAGTTCTGAAAACAGAATAACAGAAATAAAACACACGAATCTATGAAACAATATCCAATAAAGGTAAAAGACAGAGATAACATTATTCCCGTGTTTAATTATATAATTAAGCACTCTGCCATGAGGGCATATGCTGTAGTGGAGGTATAGCTCCATCATTCTTGACCTTGGTACTAGATGGAGTTAAGTGATTAACTTCACACCCCTGCTGCGTTACCGCCTGGGAAATATCCCCAGTTATCCACTGGAGAGGAGGCTGGTGTGGATGTTAAAAAGAAAAATGTCTTACCCCAGCCAGGAATTGAACCCCGGCCGTCGAGCCTGCAGCCCGTCGCTGTACCGACTAATCTACCCCAGCTCTCCAACAAACCAGTTTATTAGAATCCTACCCCTATATAGTGTACAGCAGTTTTAATTCGCAAACAATGTTGAATAAACCAAGGTACAATATATATTGAAACCTGCACATGATGGAAGTCATGTTATCATTGTCACATGTTTCAGATGAACCCCTAAATTCATCTGGCTTCTACCGTTGGGTCGTTGGCCAGCCTGACAATTGGGGGGGCAATGACAGGTCACCTGGAGAGGACTGCGGTTCCATCCACACCAATGGTGGTCTGAACGACCTCACATGCACAGCAAAAGTTCCCTTTATCTGCGAACAGGAACTGTGGTAGGGGAAGTGGTAAATGTAAGAGATACAATTATTCGTGATATGACGCTTTTACTGGACTTGCTGTTTTCTAACTGCAGATAAATATGTATTGTCGCATATCGCAGTCCACTCTTGCATAAATATAATGGCATGGATTAACAGAAAGTCCAGAAAATTAAAAATCCATTAAATTACTTGTTATATTTTTAAGAAGTAAATTTAACATTATTTCTATAACCTTATATTTAATCATTCTGTTGCATTACTTTATTCATCCTTGTTTACATAGCAATTTTCCATCAATAGTGCAATTATTTATTTTGCTTTCGCTATTAACACACATGTTTCATCCACAATCGGCCATCCTCAGGTGTCCCATTATGCCAAGACTAAAGCGAAAGCAAATGTGAATGAAGAAATAAATAGTTCCATTAGTGACGGGAAATTGTATGTAAACAAGGTTGATTATTTCTGTAATATTTGCATAACATTGTGTTACTCTCTTTACATTCAGCAAATTTAACCAGTTATCTGAAAGTTCATAAGAAGTTTGTGGTCATATTACGGGCTCCCCTGCGCATTCTTATAGCCCAATCATAAAACCACTATTTTGGCTTCGGCACTGGCTGGAGGTGAATGATCAGCATCAGGTCCCTGCCGCTTTACCCCCTGGGAAAGAACCCATTGAATAGTAGGCTGAGTGGGCCCCATAGATGATCTGGATTCTATGGAGAAGTAAAAGACGTTTACATAGCCAGGAATCGAACCTAGGCCATCCAGCCTGTAGCCGTTCTTTATAGCATCTGAGCTATCCTGGCTCTTAAAGTGGGGAAGTGTTACAACAAGAGTTACGTGATTCAGCTTTTTGTGTTAAGAGCCTTGTTATAAAGTCAGAACACTCGACGTGTGCTTAGTTGGGTCGATACGAGTTACAACTGCATTCACTGACCTCTTTAGAGCAAACAACCAGTATAAGCTTTACGAGATCTGAGATTTTTATGGCAGTGAATATCAATATTACGATCTTGTGGAATGTACCATACTGCACGATTTTGCATCCCAGAGAACTACACTCCTAAGACCAAGTTTCAGCACAATATACAGAGTAGAGTCGAAGGCGAAACTTGAGTATAGATGGAAACACACGACTGTCACTGTATAGGCCCTACGTTCGTGTGGTACATTTCAAGTAATTCGTTAAGGTAAAGAAGATTTCTGTCTGCTGGGATATAACACCATGTAGTGTTTCCCTCATCTTCAGGGTCAAAATGTAAGCCAAGCCAGCAGGAAGCAAGAATTTATTCTTGCTTCCTGCTGGCTTCTTGCTTAACTTACTCATGGATCCTGAAGATGGAGGCGATATAGTCCTCCGAAATGTCTTGTTTGAATTCATTGGACTGAATGACTTATAACCCAGAAGATATCTCTTCATGACCACCCTTGCGAGGATGTGAGATTCGACAGAAAACAAAGAAACGAATGTTTTGCAATTCGCTGCCTTCTTGCATTAATTTTGTACTGCTGCTTTGTTTCTCCTGACAATATATGCCTGTAGCCCCAAAAATGAACTTTCTAAACGTTATTTTCTATCCAGGCTGGAGCCACATGCTGATTTGATGTCATCATTAAAATGCCACAGTTCAACCAATACAGACATAGCCCTAGAGGTTCCACCAGCATGAGCATTTCTCGATGGTGGCGCAAATACGGATGGAACTTCTGACGAAGACAGCATGCGCTATTTACTATACAATTACTGTAATATTACAATAGCTCTATTGTATGCAAAACATCATTTGTAACATTGATTACCTTCAGATTTAGATAAGCGGCTAGTGTTGTTCAGAGCCCACGATTCAATCCTAAACAAAAGCTGGCTGTCACTTAACCTGAGTAGCATTGTTTGTACCTGTCATGTTCCCAAATTAAGTTTTGGGATGGAACCTCAAAATAAGGCTTCGATTTCAATGCTCCAAAATTCACCTCTCAAGACAAATTCGTCAGTACTGTCAATCTTCGTAACCAATGAAATTCATTTGAAAATATTCATAATATACCAAATAAAGTACTCACTAATGAATATATTTTTGCTGTTTCAAATGATAAAACAATTGCGTCCAGTGTGACTGTTGAAGCTTTTACTACTTCGCTTCTTAGCACCCTAACATGTTTTGGTCCCCATAGACCATCATCGGAGGGAACATCAATAATTTTAGAAACTACTATTACATTGGGTGTTTTATTTTTAAAATACATAAATATACAATATTTGTAAAATACACTTTATACAAAATCCAAATTTCTTACAACTACAGCAACTGTCCTTGATGCATTAAAGTTTTTTACAAACTTTTTGTTATTTAAGTTTTGCTACTTTCCTATAATTTTAATGTTGCTTTATATGATATTGAGACTTCTTTTGTCATTCGTACAGAGGAATATAGATTGATGGTGTTTAAGAGCACGGCATTAGAGAGGATATTTTCACACAGGAGAAAAAACAAACAACTGGCAAAAAATGTGCAGTTATGTAGCTTAAAATTTTGTCAACTTGTTTCGTCATTCGAACAGAGTAATATAGGTTGACGGTGTTTGAGAACACGGTATTAGAGAGCATATTTTCACCTAGGACAAATTAACAACCAAATAATTGAAGTAAAATATGCAGTTAAGTTGCTTAAAATTTGTGTTTTTACACTGAAATATTTTAGAATGATTTAGATAATATAACATGCATAAAGGAAATTACTGTACAAATACATGAAAGGTGGAGACCAGTTAGGAGACTAGGCATACTCGTAGGACAGAATCAAATTAAACTGGATCTTAAAGGAAGGCAATATGAGGATGTTGACTAGATTAATTTGAACCTGGTGATAGCATTATATAAGAAGGGAATTTACTGAGGTGTGGAACGTTAATTTCTTGGGGAAGTCTCTAAATCAAGGAGGAGTGTATTGCCGATATCTAGAATATACCCGTCGACTCTACTGCCTAGGCATAGTGGCTCTAAATATGGGAAGACATTATGGTACATTTTGGATTTGGAATACTCGTGGCAATATCTGTCAAGGTTTTGGCCTATGCCGTTCGTTTCGGAGAGAGTTTAATTTATGGCGGAATATATCACCTTCATCTCAAGTTTTCCCCTGAAAAATGAGGCTATACTGCCCTCTGAAACGTTGGTCGACTTTCACCGGGCTGCCGCAACATTCTATCTCAGAAGATATAACTCTTCAAAATTATATATTTCAACACTAATCGCAGTTCTCGTTACATGCTTCCAGTTGTAGCCTATGAATCTGATGTTATAAGGAAACGCCATTAATAATTCTCATAATCTAACGAGGCACACATCAATAAATATTTGTAATTGAGGAACAGTAAATATTTAAAAAAAGAAACATTTGTTATTGTTTTAGGATCAATACATAAGTTTATATCTTGAAATACCAAAGTAAGAATAAGTGAGATGATATACTTCTAAGGAAAATATGTCCATTTGTTTTGAAAACCATCTACCCATGAGAATGTGGCGCAGTTTCTTATATCTACTGGCACTTCCTTACATTTACACTCAGTTATGACAGCTCACAATCGTTGATTCTCTACGCCTCGCTCCATTCCTATCTGGACCACAAGAGTCTTCTCTTCCATTGTGATGAATGACCAACGAAGAATACCTGCCCACCGCTTGAACTGCCTTGAATGGCGTTTGTCTGACGGATGCTTCTTGAAGAGTCCACAGCTCCTTGTATAGGATAGCTCGTATCCATGGAAATCCTTTTAAATGATTAGTTGTCACGAAATTTCTTTAACAAACAAATGAATCACTGAAGCGCGTTATAGAAGAGCTGATACTTGGAAACCACGCGGCAACGCAAATGTGAGAAGACTGGCATGCTATGTTGCCTGGAAATTGAGGTTCTCAGTCTCTCTGCGAGTTGTGCTGTCCTTTCCTCAATATGCGCTGCTCCATTCGTTAACATGTGTTCAACTCAGGCTGATAACAATCCTCGGAAATCGCGGTGTGACCTAGGCCTAAACCAAGGAAGAAATTAGCTTGCTGCCAACTTTCTGCTGTTTGCCAGCTTGGCTTACCGTTAACCCTGAAGACGGGGGAGACCTATTTATGCTAAATTTCGTTGAATTTCTGCGGAATACATGGTGTTATACCTAAGACTATAGAACTTTTTTGCACGGTAGTTCTCTGCTGTGGCCTGGACTTGTACAGTATGAATAAAAACAGAACAAAACATTTCTCGTCATCCTATTCATTAGTGCATTGCAACTGAAGAGCTATTAATAGGTATCTATAACAAACAATTCAGCAATATTTCACCGCAATAAACTTAGATCTGAGATACACAGTGACACATTGCTTTACGCGGAAGCTGTAATTGTAAACTAAGGGACTGTAAATGACCCGCGGACAATCAGTAAAAGTAAGGAACTTATCACTTTCAAGACCTTCTTTCATATGTTGTTAGTAGGGCCCGGATCTTGATGACCTGAAAATATTAAAAAATGACCTATAGAATGACTGACGAATTCCAGAAAAATGACCAAAAGTAGAAGAGAAAGAACACTTCGCTTCCATGTTATTCACATTTCGGAAAACATATGAAGAAAAATTCCCTAAAATGGCCAAAAATG